GTGGCAACTAATTAAATGCCTTGTTCATTCGACCACTGTATGTCGCGGTGCCTCGCTCACTGACCTAGCTAAGCGACTGTCTTGTCCAGTCTTGTCTGACTGGCAAACTCAGTTCCTCGCTCACCTCGTTTTCTGACTAAACAACCACGTGACTGATTGATTTGACCGATATACCCCTCAGCTAACTTACTCAGTTATAGTATGGTTACAGTACCTAACTGACTCATTCATACTCGTCGAACCAACTGGTTGACTTGCTCATGAAGTCTTCTGTAAAAGGCATATTTTGTCTGGTCCCTGCTATGGAACTCATAGCTTCGTACCCATACACATCTGCAATGGCATAACCTTCATATCAGGAATTATTATTATTATTAACTTCTGTGTGTGTGTGTGTGTGTATTGTCCTTTCTCATCACATAATGGAATAACCATTCGAAATGTACTTATTTTATTTTTCTCACCTGTTAATGCTAACTTTAATTTTTCTTGGAATTGTTATTAATTTATTACCAATATATAGACTGTCTTATTTTGTATTATGTTTTTTAGTTATTTTGTGTATTTCTATTTACTCGTGCCAACTTTGTAATTGGCCTCCGTGCTGTTAAGTTTGCACGTACATAAAGACGAATTGAATTATTATTATTGTTGTTGTCGGTCTCCGAGTTCCTACTCGGCATATCACAGACTTTGTATTGTTCAATGTCTGCTCCTCATGTAAAAATTGTCCCTCTGCTAGACGTGCATCAGCTGCTAATCTTGTTTGCAGGGACGTTTACATATTCGGGGCCAGGAACGTTCTCCTCAGTCGTCTTTTATAATATGGTATAACTGTTACTATTATTATTTGCACAAACATAAACTAGAATTAAACTGAATTATTATTATTATTATTATTATTATTATTATTATTATTATTTCTAAATATCTATACTTTACATTTCTCAGTTATCAGTAGTAACTTAGATCTGTGATAATGAAAGTATTATTTTGTTTGTTTCCTTATATGCATTAATGTGTTTTTCATTCAATGTTTACCTTTGATTAGTCTTTGACTTTAGGTTGTGTTTGTCCAGTACGTAACTAATTCTATCTACACTGTGCTGTGTCTGTAATTGGTCTTGCAGCTGTTGGCTCAGCACAAAATAATAATAAAGAATTCAGTTATTATGAGTATTTGGAATAGAGACGCATAGGTATTCAGGACGAAACCACAATCCCCTTTCCACTGCATGATGTCTATGAAGATGAGGAAGTACCCTACCAACCAGACTGCGAGCGTGCTCAGACTGTTCTTGCGTGGGCGAGGAACATGGTATCGGAAATTTCGCTCAGCAGGCGACATGACCTTGGGTTCCAGCTGGCGATTTATTTTTATCCCTCTAAGTCAATTACAATCGCAAATCTCTTATCCCGTCTAGACGGTTACTGGGAAATCGAAGGTAATATATCTTGTTGAACTGTAACAAGGGAACGTTCAGTGCCATTCTATTTTTGTAAATTATTCCTATAAGTAGGTGGAGTGTCGGCATATTCAATAGATAGACTACTGACTTGTCGCTATATATTTTCATAATTCTAACGATTGTGTCAAAAGCATGCAAATAATCACTTTTAATTTTAAAATATAAAGAATGTCCAGATATATGATCATTTTATTTCATTATATGGCGTTCCTGGAAATTTGTTTTCTTATTTCAGTGGCCCGCAAACTTTTTCACCCGTGGCGCAACCACACTTGTCAAACACATATGACGGCAAACCACAAAATTTCGCTGCACGAAGAGACGCAAGAACCGAACTATGGTCATTAATATGTATCTACATGTAAGTCCTTGACCTATTAGAACGCAGGCGTATGAAGACAGAACGTGACGCGTGTTGAATAAAACCATCGATGACGAGTTCATATGTGTATTGCGAATTCTAATTATGAAAAACAAACGTTGGCAATACAATTTTATTTGAATTATGAAAGCAATGCATCAAATGACAATTCCAGAATTTGTTTTATAATGTGTTTAAACTATAAATTCAAGGAAGGTATGTTTTATATTTAATCTGCAAGCAAATTGTTATATTAATATGTCAAGTTCCATACCTTTTTTGCTATTTCAGTGTGCTGTTTATTCCTGATTCGTTGAGTAAAGGAGACTTGAAAGAAAGTGTAGAGGATACAACTCTCATTTTCTTGTTAATGGGTCTTAGGTCTTTATTTCCGTAGGCCTCAAAACGCCCAGTCCACATAAATACGTTCTCGAAAGTGGTAAAACAAGATCGTAAGAATCATTCCGGAAATCAGAGGTTAGTTTTCCATTATTGACGACCAAAATGTGTCCAATGAGAGGTGTTCCAGTATGGGGATTCTGTTTGCCTTCTTCTTGAGCGTTCAAAGGAAGACATTTTAGAACACCGAAAGGGTCACAAATTAAGTAGAAATCTTATGCTGTAAAAGGTAAAATTGTCCCTGTGCTTAACTAATTAAGCACTACGCCATGAAGGCGTATTGGGGAGTGGATATATAGATCCACATTTTCTTAACCTCGACACTAGTTGGAGGTGAGTGGTCAGCTTCACGCCCCGGCCGCTTTACCCCCGGTACCCATTGAATAGGAGGTTGGGTGGACCTCAGAGCCGGTCTGGACGACCTGGAGAAGAGAAAATTCTTGACCCTGCCGAAACTCAAACTCCGACCCCTCGGTCGTCCAGCCTTTAACCAGTCGCTGTACCGACTGCGCTGTCCCGGCTTCCAATCTTCTACTGTAGCGCGTGTAAATGTTTTTCGATGACTGATCAAGCAAGCGAACACACACATGGAAACATTCCAGTGAACCCACTGAAGCTTTGGTGTAGCCATGTCTTTCCTTTTTAATTTCTTTGGATGGGGTGACTGAGTCCACTTGGTACATTGGCCACTAACTGATCTATTGTACCAGCCCCGGATGATAGATGATGAGTGTGGAGTAGTCGGCGGAATGAGAATTGGCAGAGGAAACCGAAGTACTCGGAGGAAATTTACCGCACTTGATCACCACAAATCCCATATGATCTGACCTGGGCTCGAACTCGGGCCTCCGGTCTCGGAGGCCTGCGACTAACCGCCTCAACTATGGCACGGCCCGGTCTAGCCATAACTTGAACCTACTGTAGAATCCTTAAATTCTGCCCATACTACTTTTTATATTTTCGTTCCTGCCCTGCACAATCATTCAATTAGTGACGCTGATAATCGGTTGTGAATCCTGAAGTTGGCAGTGGAAGAAATAAATGAAATGAAAACTGGTTTTGTATTCATTGCTACGCTAAACAAGCCCACCCTTAATAAGAGTGATGGGTCGAACATTGTTTATAGGATATTTCTGCTTCAGAGATTTACTGTTACCAAGAAGGGGTTATGGAAAATGTAAGTATACTAGACCAGGAACCAGATCAGTGAGTGGTGGCCGTCGCGCTCACACTACGTCATGCCCACGGAAACAGCCCCATAACGCAATGATGGGCCGTACACTCGAGTGGGTTGAAATGAAAACTGTCTGCCCCTACAGGAAATCGAAACTTCTCCGTCCAGCCCGTAACCAGTCACCCTACTAACTTATCCCGTAAATACAAATTTACTGTTGACAAAGGTGATCGGTAGCAGACACAGGCTGTGCTCTTATTGCTCTTGTTTCATTAAGTGGGCACCGCATAGGATGTGTCTGTGTATCCCCACAACACCTGAAAGCCGGAATAGTGGAACCAGAAGAGACATTTCTGTATGTGTTTCCCGCTCATCGTTGCTAGGGAATGCCTAGGTAAACTCGTTTCTGCGGTAGTGAATACACATGCAACAATAGAATAATTATTGCAAGCGTCGTTTTCTATGCGGTCCGTGTCGTATCAAAGGAAAGTAGGTGATCAATTCTTATTAGTAGTAGTATTAGTATTATTGCATATATACATATAGTCATGTACGTTTCGAAAAACAGCTTTCGATAACCTCCTGTGCGCTCCATGAGGCCTATGTATCCGTATACAGCAGTGCCCGAACTCTCTCATCGATTTCGATCAAAGTCGGCATGCTAGACCTATATTAAATTTTTCTTGCCATTTTCATATACTTCCAGTCATTTTGAGGCCTTTTACTTACGGACATAAAGAACTTCAGATTATCTCTGAGATCCTTGACAGAATTCAGTGAAACTTGACAGCATTGTATGACACTCGTAAGATCAAGTAACCTATTACCATGTAAGATTCGAGATTTTCACAGCGGTGACCATGAAGAATGCCGTCTTCTGGGATGTGGCGCAGTGTAGATTTGTGTCAGCCGACGTTTCGCAGGAACGTATCGCCTCCACATTCAGGATAGAAAATCTGCGAGCGAGGAAGCGGCGTGAGCAGGTGGCTGCAGATTGAGCCACCCAACAAAAAACGTCTTCGAGCGGTGGCTCAATCTGCAGCCACCTGCTCACTCTGGTTCCTCGCTCGCGGATTTTTCTACCGTGAAGATTGAGGCGATACGTTCCTCCGAAACATCTGTTCACACACGGTGCCACATCCAAGAAGACAGCATTCTTCAACGCATTACCATGTTTATATTTCATTCACATTTATTTTGATGGCTGTTCGTACTTAACGACCTAATTGAACCTTGTTTACACTGTGATGAAAGTGGATATGCTGCAATTACACGATTGACATGCGTTCCATTCACGTTAATTCCATTTACTCTTAGGTCTTCCAAGTTACTTCTTTCCTTCAGGTTTTGTATGCATCTCATCTCTCCCATGCATGCTACAGTGCCCCCCCCCCTTATCTCATATTCAGATATCAGATATCCCCTGGTTTAATAAACCAAATCACACGTATGTCTGGTGAAGAGTACAAATTATGAAGCTTATACAGAGGAAGTTTTCTCCAGTCACCTTAGTTTGTACTTTCACAAAGAAATAGCCTTTGCGAGACTCGGTGTAGCAATGAGAGGCAAGTGGACAAGACTTGACATGTCGACTAACCTTTCCTCCTGCTTCCACTGTACGTTGTGATGGAGACATTGCTGAAAGGCGGTGTCGTATTCTGCGTTCCGTGGTGATGCTGATGATCATGTGACTCTGTGACGCTCAAAATAAGAGACGCAAGCAGCAGGGCGGTCACCATTTTGTTTCTCACACAGCCTGCAACGAATTCATTACAGTTATTTGGGTCCAAGGCTTAGGGTTATGTCTCGCTTCAAACCATAATTTCATGAAGTTTGGCCAAGACTTGGGCTTGTCTGTCTTTACAAAGCACGATTTCAAGGTTTCGCAACGTCGACACATATTTGGTTGATATGTGTAGTATTTAAAAAAAATTCGCTTAGTGGGGGGGGGGGAGTCCAACTGGGTCCACTCGCCACGGCGGCCACTGATTGGCCTATTGTAGCCTGCCCCGGGTGATTATGATGATGGAGAATTTGGTGGAATGAAGATTGGCAGGGGAAACCTAAGTACTCGGAGAAAACCCGCCCCAGCACCACTTTGTCCACCATAAATCCCACTTGACCAGACCCGTGATCGGGAAGCCAGCGACTAACCGCTTGAGCTATGGCGCGGCCTTAGGTGTAGTATTTATATCATGTGATTCAAATAAGCTCAAGGACTCATATTTTAACTCGTGTGTCAACCGGTCTTCGTGAAATGCTTCATGTGAACTTGAAGTGAGATAAAACTGTTTTGCTTCTCACCATGTTGCCTTTGAGAGACCACACTTTTTCGAAGCGTCGTGACGTCGGTTTAAAAGTAGGTTTCACGTAATCGACTGGAGTTTGGAAAAATTCAGAGTAATTGCAGAGTGACACTTATTGTTATTAACACTGTCTTAGCAGAGCTTCTGTTTTACTGGACGAGAAAACCTCAAAACGATCTATCATAGTAATATGAAGAATACAACTGGGAGAATGCATGAATGTGATTGGCAGTTGCGCGCACGCATTTGATCGTTGGTAAAGGATATTTCATTTCAGTAGAATTGCTGCTGAATAAAATTCGAGTGTTTTAACGTTATTCGTTGAGATATTTTAAAATAATTGTATTGTAGGCTACAACAAATAAAAGAAACGGTCCTGACGAATGCACTACGTCTCAAAGTAGGTGAACTGATTAGATTTTCTTTGTTTGTATTAAAGGGTGTGACGTTTGCGTCGTTTCTGATGCAACTATATATGTTTTGAAGTAAAGCAAAATTAACAGACACGAAGCAAACACGGCATCGAAACTCTGTGGTATGCAGAACCAAGTAAGAATGGATAAAATAACTCGATTTTTTAATTATCTCGCTGTAACGGCAAAGTTTATTGAAAATTATAACCTTACAGATACTGCAGTGCGTGCTAGTTGCGTTATTTCCGAAATTTTGGCAAAAAAAGATTTTAACATTTTAGTGGGTCGAAAATAATAAATTAATGCACAGATGCAGTTGCAGAGGTAGCAGTTCCTGAAAAGAACACGTGTTTTCAAAAATTAGTTGATGAAGATTCGTCGTTGGAAGAATGAGAAACGCTCAAAGAAAAATGAATAAAGCTTAATAATGAAAATCGCTAAATTTCGGCGGTTTCAGTGGACGAGGGGAGACAATGAATATCGCCGAAGAAAGTTGTCTTCTGGGTTNATGAATATCGCCGTTTGCGTTCCTGGAAGATAGGGCGTTCAGTAAAACCAAGAAATTGACTATCTTAATAGCAGTGAAGGTGACCACTACAGGTGCAGATTTATATGAAGAAGTCGCTGGAAAGTCTGGATATCTGAGTACAGAAACTGGCTGGACTAGTATGACGGATGCGGCACCAAGTACGGTCACAAGGAGCAGTGGCGGGTAGCCGCTTGCCACCAGCGACATGAAGAATACAGTAGATTGCGGTTTGATAATATGCGTTAGTTGATAAAACAGCAGGATCTGCGTCCGAAATCCGTCAGACTGACTAATGTTGTTACAGTGGTTTCAGAGCTCGTAAATTTCGTTGCGTCAAAAGGAACGAATCATCTTCAATTTAAGGATTTCTCGACTGGTTTGAAATCTGGACATAGGGCTGTTGCCTGTTACATTAGAGTTCGTTGTGAGTCATGTTCGGATGCTTAAATGCGTGTATGACTTGAAACAGGAAATTGAATGCTTTCTGGAAATGAAAGGGTGACCCTTCCTTCGCAGCTGAATATGCCGAGGCTTTGTGTTTTGCATTACGTCACTCGACACATGAATGAAGTGAACATCAACCTGCAAGGAGTAAATCGCCTTGCCAGTGAAACCCTAGACAAAACAACAGTGTTCGAGAAGATACTACGATCAAAAAATATGACACTTCCAAATTCTGGGAACGCAGAAGCCCACTGATACTAAGAAACACGCGGAAAGAATTCAGCATCAACAAGAATTCTGTATTTAAGTATCCTGTTGCTAGCCATATTGAAACGTCTGTGTATAACACAGTCCGTCAGTAATGCAACAAATTGTTCCTCCTTCTCCCACTTACGAGTATACTTACACGCAACATGTTTCGGCCTTAGATGGCCATCTTCAGGTGTCTTAATATATTGAAATTGCTACACTACATTAATATGCGACAAAATCACACGCTGTAGTCCACTTAATAGTGATGGAATAGGTGCAACAGAAGATCACCAAAGTAATGAAAATTTTAATGGATTTTATTTCATTGTATTAAGTGCACTACAGCGTGTGATTCTAGCGCAAATTAATGCAGTGTAGCAGTTTTAATATATTAAGACACCTGAGGATGGCCATCTAAGGCCGAAACATGTTGCGTGTAAGTATACTCGTAAGTGGGAGAAGGAGGAACAATTTGTTGCATTACTGACGGACTGTGTTATACATAGACGTTTCAACAAGAATTCCAGACCCGTTTTCAAGGTCCCAGATCAACTTACTTTCATTGTCATTTGACGTGAATGTGGAAACTTTCAGCCATAATTCGAATGTAGATCACAGTTTACAGCGCGGTGAAGACCTGAGAAGTACGTACATGTCGATTTGTCGGAAAATACTTGACTTTTGAAAATTCTGTTTATCTGCTGATAAGTTTCCAGTATATAGTGACATGTCGATTTGTCGGGGAATGCTTGACTTTTGAAAATTCTGTTTATCTGCTGATAAGTTTCCAGTATATAGTGACATGTCGATTTGTCGGAGAATGCTTGACTTTTGAAAATTCTATTTGCCTGCTGATAAGTTCCCAGTATATAGACACCACGCACGGCGAATGATACACCCTCTCGGAAGCACATATGAGCACGAAAAGTCTGCTAGACAATAGAAGCGATCAACAAGAAGTCGAGAAATCAACTCAAGTTACGGAGGGTTGGGAAACTCCTGCCGGCGTTGTTACCTCTCACAGACGTTCAGAGATTGTGAACTGGTGGCAAAGAAACTGCGACGAGTTTCGTATGGACGTTTTTCCATCCTTAACAATAAAGCTGCAAGTCCGAAGACATTATATTAATATGTCATTGCATTATCAGTCATAATTGTTGTCGCTTAAAGCTTAACATTAACAAGTAGTTACTATAGGATTCTGACGATGGTGTATAACATACTGATATATTGGGTTTTTGGACTTTATCCATCGTCCTGGTTTTTAAGATAACAAATAAAAACACGACGTTTCGGAAACTGGATCTGTTTCCGTCCTGGTCANCTTAACATTAATGTATATTGCAAAAATTTATTTTTATACCTATTGCACCGTTTGCGGCCTGCGCAAGGGTTTCGGAGTTTTGTTTAATATTTAGAGCTTCGGTTTATATCAAAGCTAAGGTGAAGAAAGAAACTTCCATTCTGGGCTGTCAGGCAACCGAATTATTTTAAGAAAAGAAACTAAAGTCACGGTCCCAACACAGGCGTGACCAATTGTTACAAGCGAGCCGTCAGAAAGTAAGACCGTCGGAGGACAACAGCGGATTGGAAAGACTCGGGTTCTAGCAGCATTCGTCTACATCATAAACACGGGTTTGTCAGAAGTTACAAGCAACTATATGAAGCGGTATGATGTATGTACTTTCTTTAACTAATCTATATCAATTACTCATAGATCGGCATATTATGGAAGCTGATATTATATTATTAATGGCTTGTATTCAACATGTACCCGGTTCGAATCTTATCAAGGGTTGCATTTTCCTCAGAACTGCAGCGGTTTCTCAGTTCCCTAGAATTCCACATGGGATCTCAAAATGTACTGTAACCAATAGTAGAGTGAATTTACCGACTACACACCACGTTTTTTTATTATCACTACATGTTTCGACCTCAAGAGGTCATCCTCAGGTGTATGAACACGGCTGTATAATTACACGCGGTCACATTCACTTTTCACTCATTCGACCCTGTATCTTATCAAGATTTACGCTCACTAATATATCGAGTTCTTTTATAAAACACAGGTTAAAATTATTGTTCTAATTTAATTGTTAAAAGTTAAAAGTTCGTGAATCGAAGTTCAATTCATGTCACTGGTTACATAATAAAAAAACGTGTTGTGTAGTCGGTAAATTCACTCTACTATTAACTAAACACACGATTAACAAACGATTAAAATTGTACTGTAACCACTTTATATCTATTTTAGCTTTCTTTATTCCTGAATATTCATTTTAATGCAATGTGAATATTTAGGCCCCGACAATTATAAGTGAAGAGCTCCACGGAGCAGAATCCTTCTCGAGGAGCTGATAGTCGCTCAGATGATCAAGGAAGTTTGTTCTCACGTTTTTATGTAATTAATTTCTCGCTCTGGAAAAAAATTCATCGTAGTGTTTGTGTGTCAAGGAGCTTCTCACAGTATATATGGAACGTAACATGGCGAGACTGACTGACGAACAGTCCACTGCAGTAATGTCACTGAATAACTGACTAAATTAATCTCCATGCAGCTGAGCCCTTCTTGAGAAGCCAGCAGCTGCGCAGCTACTCAAGAACTTCCCAATATTGTATGAAACCTGAAGGTTCATTACCGTGTTCACAATAGCACTCCACTGGTCACTATCCTAAGCCAAATAAATCCAATCCATACCGCCCCATCCTATATCTCTAAGATCCGTCTTAATATTATCCTCTCACCCACGTCTAGGTCTTCCTGGTGGTCTCTTTCCTTCTGGTTCCCCCTCTCCCCAAATCCGATATTCAT